CAACGAGAGAAGTAACCGAAGCCTTAAATCACCACCAGCCAAATCTAACACACCTCTTTCGAAAGGTTACTTACCCAAGTTACATGAGTTTTTGGATTGTGGAGTGACCGAGTCGCAGCCTTTTTTGGTCATCACATTTTGGTGGTGACTGTGAGATCCGAAAATAAAGACGTTCGCTACCCCCTCTGATTTCAAAATTTTAGTAATTTAGTATTAGAGTCATAATAAATGAAATGAAAAATTATCCTAATGAAACCCGCCATTCTGTGTCCCAAAAAGCTCTCAAAATGGTAACAGGTCCCAAGAAAGCATGGAGAAGAAGGCTATATATTCAAGTAGTAGGAAAAGAAACTATACATTTAGTAAAGATTCGGATATAAGAAAACTAGAGAAAGAATGTGTGATGTCATTTGCAAGACTTACTGATGAACAAGCCGCCAAAGTCCAAGAAATAGTAGATAGAGCTTTTGGAAATTATGACATCAGTGAAAAACAAATTCTCCATGCCCTTGAATTTGTATTGGAAGCAATAGAGGTAGTAACACATGATAGAAGCGACATAGAAGATGTAGTATACTTGCCTTCGTATATAGAAGTGCCCGACCATCGTCATTCTATTCAACGTCAAGAACACCCCAGAAATAGCAAAGGTGTCCCCAAAAATCACTCCAAAAAGACACGAATAGAGGAAGTGGTGTACCTCAATACCCGAATCCCTGTTGCTGTCACCCCTAAATGTAAAGATCCCATGAGTGTCCCGAAACCCAGGCAGAAAAACTCACCGTAACTGAAGTTCTTAACGCTTACTACGTTCCGGAAGAATCCTTCGAGAGATTTGATCTTGATTCAGAAGAAAGAAAAGTTGACGTAGAAACCCTCTTAAAAGAATTAGCCACCGAATGTGGTAAACTTGTACGAAAATGGGCTCCGGAAAAGGAAAAGGAAGCCATCCACATATCTGCGAAAGGAAATGTTAAAGAGGATAAAGACGTAATTAGAATTGAAAAGGATGAAAAAGAAATAGAGAAGAAAAGGGAGAACACAAAACATATGATTATTATAAAGCATTGGCCAAGACTGAAAGTGTTAATGAGACATGCCCGAATAGCCCTTGGTATCAAGATGGGACCGAAAGCGATAAACGTAAGGTGCCCGAATCGTATCCAAAAAGTGCCGAAGATAAAAGTCTTGATAAACGATATGGTCTTGGACTGTATTATCAAAACGAAGTTGAATTCAGAGAGAATGAACAACGACCGTATAAAAATGAATTTAGAGATAAAGATTGTGTTAATAATGATGAAACGATTGTAAATGAAGAAGACAAAGAGAAAGAGGAGGCATAAAAATTCCTACCGAAAAAAGAGAAGATAGATCATGCCTGTGAATTGTGGATGAAAAGAGTCGACAAATTCCAAAAGACCACGAGTGAGGTAAAAGAACATACAAGTATGAAACCTGTCAAAGCTGAAGAAGACTCTGAGTGGAATTTGGAACATACTGAAGATGGAACTCCGAGCAAACTATATGATTCTGAATTCTGTTACGGAAATGGGATAGAAGCTGAAAAAGCTGATGGAAAAGAATTTGGTTATCCAAAGTCAGCTGAAAAAAATGAAATGGATGAACCTGATGATAGTGACGATGTAACTATGGTTGATGAAGAGGTTGGTAACATAGAGAGACTTATCGAAGAGGAAAAGATAGTTTATAACTGTGAATCATGGGTGAAAAAGGTGGAAGGATTTCGAAGGACGGTCGGATGGAATAAAGAAGTAAAAGAACCTACCGAAGCCAAAGATATGTCGGAAGTTGGTAGTCAAGAAGAAATCGGAGTCAAGTTGAAGGAAAATGAATCATCCAGTCGTGATAGGAAATCTGATGATATTGGTGACTCAAAAAAAATGGTTAACACTAAACGCTGTTATCGAAATGGAATCAAAGTCAGAAGAAAAGAATTGTTCGAATGGTATTTGAAACGTGCTGAAAATGGTAACTCAAACAGCCGATTTGAGCCTGGTGGATTTTGTCGACGAAATGGAATCGTAACTGGAAAAAAGGAGGAGAAGACATTAGAATGGAACTCAAAAGCGGCTGAAGGTGAAAATTTTGAAACAAAAAAACGTTGCCAAGGTTGGTTACACCTTCCAATCTTCGATCCTGGTGGAATGTTCGGTCAACCGCTTTATTTGAATTCGAAAGAAGTTATCGGATCCATGTTGAGACCCTATTATTGATCTTTAATCTGAAAATAAGCTCGTGGAACTCGCCTTTAAACGGGGGTGAAATGTGAGGTCAGAAAAACGTGATCTAATAACCGCTGTGCCAACTCACGTTAACCTGATTATGACGATCTCTTACCGAAAAAGGAGTTGCCGGTGATATATTGATATAACGAAGAAATTAAATATACTCTAGATAACTAATATAGCGAAGATAATAGATATGATCGATTTAATAGAGATAATAGTTTTATTAGTTATGAAAGAGATATCAGTTTTATTTGTTATAGCCCATTTAATAGTTATAGGATCTAATTTGTAATTTGTACAAGTTTCAATAACTACTCTAGCAATAGTTAATCCATTACAATGCAAAGGATCTTTTATTTCTAGTATAGTTACATATAGCAATTTGTATTTAAATTCCAATAGCTAAAACAAATAATGAAAATTTTACTATTACCTCTTTTAGATTTATTAACCATTATTCCATAAGCAAAAAATTATTTTTTTTCAACTATATTATTTTGATTAAGAGTATATATAGTTGCAACATCTTTATGCCATCCTACAAGAGTTTTTGCTAAAAATTACTGATTTGGTTCTTCATCAATAAGCCATTCATCAACAGTTTTAATACATTCAACAGCAGATCAAAAAGATATTGAATCTACTTGACAGATTTTTGTTGCTATTTCAATTGTTTTGTTTGTATATATATATTTTTTTTTATTAACTGTTGTTTGATTGCAGCTTTTAACTCTTTTTTATTAATTGTAGAAGACTTGTGAGTATTAGAACATATATTTGATATATATTGCTTATGATTTGTTTATGAATTTGTAAAAATTTTCTAATTCATTCATGTAATGATTTATTTTTTGCTTTGACTATAGTTAGTTTATATTCTAAGGACTTTATAGTTTTGATATGTTCTTTAGTTATGGCTATGCATTTCTCAATATCATGATTTACTTAACCTAATGAATTTTCTATAAAATTCATTGCTTTGTGTTGTAAATATTTTGAAAGCAGTTTACCTTTATTTGGATCTTTTTTATGGCTCATAGTTTCTATTAATAAAGTAGCTAATAATAGTTTATTATAGAGATCCAAACTATAATCTGGATAACTATATACCCAATAACCCAACCTGTAAAATTTATCAACCAGATTATTTTTTTTGATAAACAGGTGATTCATTTATATCAGATAACCCATTTTACAATTGATAACACTATAATAAGTAGGTGACCTGTTTTATAACGATTAACACTATAATAAGCAGATGACCTATTTTACAACAGGTAACCTAGTTGGTAAATAGATAATTGATCAACTCAATTTATATTACCAACCGGTTTAAAAAATAAGGTTTAAGATAAAGTTAGTGCTAGGCCATATAAAGTTAATTTTTTGGTTAACATGAAATTTTTAAAAAAAGATTTGTTTAATTTTATTTTCAAAAAGAATTCATAAGTATAAAAATTTTTCTTTGTCTTTTTTTAAAAAAAAAAACCACCAATAGTATAATTGATCTGGCCAGTTATACGAACCAAAAAATTAACTTTGATTGGCCTTGCATAATATAGTAATTAATAATGCTTTTTTTCTAATATAAAAACTCTTTAATTTTTAGAAGCATTTTTTTTTGATTTTTAGAATATACTATCGTTATGACTTTTATAAAATTCACGCGTTAGATATCTGTTTTTTAAGAACTAGACAAAACATCTTTGCTTGTAGCATTAAATGGATTATGTTCAGGAACATTGTAATAAACATAGCCACGCTTTGGTTATTATCCACCAGTAGCTCAAAAAAAAAAAAAAAGCTATCCATAGTTTGTTGAACGCTATATATTAAGTGTATCGCAATAGAACAAGTAAAATTTTCAAAATCATGGTGTATGCAAAAAATTAAGCACTATGCAATTAATATTATAAAATTAATAGGTCAAGATGAGATTTCAACTTCAACATCTGATTATATAGATGATGATGATATATATTCTGTAGATATATATGATAAACTGCCTATACCTGATGAATCGCCTGCATATAATGATAAAACAAAAAAATGAAAAAAACATGACAATCGTAGTATCGCATCAGATCATTTTAATGTTAAGACAACAGAAAAAGGCACTTTTGATGATTGTTAAATTTGTAAAAAAAAAAACATTAATATTAGGTATACACATGATGCTTCAATAGGAAATATGCTTGGGCATCTTTAGTCTAAGTACCAAATTGATAAAGACCACCCTGAAGAAGCAAACAGTAATGGTTCAATTATCAAAGCTATGCATGTCATTAGTAAATGAAGGCAAGACAAAATAGCACAGCTATTAGTCGAATTTATTATTAAAGATTGCCAATCTCTTTATATTTTACGTAACCAAGCTTTTCGTCAGTTGTTAAATTATATAGAAGCAGGCTTTCATATTCCTTGTGAGCAAACTGCAAAAAAAATAATTGACAAAGCTTATGATTGGAGTCATAATTAATTATTTGGTATGATTAATACTAACAGTAGATTTATTAATTTAACAACAGATATGTGGAGTTCAAGAACAAATCAAGAGTACATTGGAGTGATGGCAACATAGATTGATTCAAACTTTGAATTAAAAGAGGCTTTATTGACAATCCAACTGCTTCTATCAATACAAATAGCTAAAGCTATTGAAGACTCTTTTAATTAAGTTATCATTGATTGGGGACTTACAGGATGAATTTTTTGTATCATAACCAACAATGGAGCTAATATTAAAAAGGCGATTAGCTTAATGGACAATATTATATAATTATCTTGCTCTGCTCATATGCTTCAACTAAGCATGCTAAAAAGTCTTAAACTTGCAAAACAATTAATTAAAAGAGCAAAGAATTTAATTCTTTTTTTTTCTCAAAGTTCTAAACAATCTGAATGACTTAAAGATGCACAAGAAAAATGTAGATATTCAAAAATTCACTAATCAATTAATGATGTACTAACGAGATAGAATTCTTTGTATTTAGCTTGGGTTCAGCTTAGGTAATTATAAAAGCGATTGATTATCTTGTTTTGATATTGCTTTCAGAATCAAAATGGTGTGACAGACTTGATAGCAAGTATTTGAAATTAACCAACCTAACCGAAAATGAATAGCGATTGTTAGATAGTCTTATCCTATTATTGAAACTATTTTATGAGGCTACCAATATATTTTCTGGTTCAAGCTATCCTTTTCTTAACCTCATTTATCCAACAATGAGATTATTTATTAGAAAATTCTTACCTTCTCGTAGATAAACTGAAGATGATTATGCTGAATTATTATTTGAACCTATTGAGTATATTAAAAAGTTTTTCTTGGCATTAAATATTACTTTTTAGAGCCATGGATTTCAGGATTTTAAATTTATAAATATTAAAAAACTGAAATCTGGTTTATTTTTTATTTTTAGCCCAAGTCAACCAACCAATAATGAATATCCTGATGAACTTGATATAGAAGATAAATTTGATACACAAATAATTTCAGAGCAACTCCGTTAACTATTACAAGCATCACAAGGATAAATGAAGAAACAAAGTCACAGCAAAATTAAAAAAAATACATATCCAAATAATGACCTACAATTTAAAGGCTGTCAATTAATAGAGTTCTCTATTACTACCAAAAACCTATGTGATTTAGTTAAAGCTACTAGTTATCTTTCTCTTCAAGAATATTGGAAAACTCCTGAAGAAATTGGGCTTGTAGCATCATTCTTGGATCCAAGAATTAAGCATTTGAAGTTTCTTAGTAATGAATCAATAAAGAGAACTATAATTAATAGAGTGTGAACACTTTGTGATAAAGAAAAATGCTACCAGCCCTCAGTTGAGCTTGACAAGTCATCTACTATGTCAACTCTCAAACCTGCAACAACTAATGACTTGATTGCAGCTTTATATAGTAGCGAAAAACCTAAAGATAAAATTCTTAATGAAACTGAAGTTGTCTGTTGCCTTCGTAAACCTGTTGAGAAAATGGGCTGTAATCCACTAGCATGGTGAAAAGATAGATCTGGAATATATCTTGCATTATCAAATCTAGCTCAAAAATACTTGTTAGTACTAGCAATATTGGTTCCCTCAGAGTGATTATTTTCAGATACAGGATTACATATTATGGCATTACATAACAGGCTTCATCCAGATATGGTTAAGCAAATAATGTTTCTTAAACGTAATATGCAGCATTTTTCTATTTTTAAACTGGATGAATTATAATAAACAGTTATTATCACTTTCACTATATCAAAAAAAAAAAAAATACATAATATTTAATATTATATATATAATAATGGTAGTTCAAATATACTTAATTGGGTAATGAAAGTGAAATTAAGATTTGATGGTGTTGTTTCTTCACAACAAACTTGTCTTTCTTATTGCAATTCTTACAATATCGCTAAAAGCATTAGAGTCATTTTTTTGTGATTCAAAGGATAAGCACTACGAATTATTATCCCTTAAATTGTAATACAGGCAAATTTGCCTGTGTTTTTATTAAAAAGTTTAATTTTTTTAATAAAAACTTAT